AATTATATAATATTTCATAATATTATTCACTTTTAAAATTACATAACACGATAACTGAACGTGTATGTTACAAATACCTCCTCCTTTTGAGGATTTCGTCCCGGAAATCATAACGATATAAATGACTGGGAATATTTCGCTTTTATCTCATTCTTATTTTCCTAATTATAATTTGGGCCTCGATGGTGTTTCCACTTGACGTGCACCAACTCCAAAACATATGCACAAAGCATATCTTCTACTGTTTGGATTTTTCTCTCCGTCTGACCATCTCCTTCTTCAATTCTCTGACTAAAATTTCGTCACTACACAAGACATGGTTCTCTGAACCAATCACCTCACTTCGCAGATCTATTTTAGTCAGACTCGATTCTTTACGACCATTTAGGTCTGAATGAAAATCATCTTCTTAGTCATCACCGAAACGAAGGTAATGACGTACTTGAACAAAAACGGAATTGATTACTAGTTTCTTGGTAACCTTGTGACTTTCCCTGATCTAAGTGTGAGTCATGTGCTTCCAGTTTTATAGGCCTCTACTACTATTCACACCTACTCATACTCGTCCCAAGTATTGTCTCGTAGTTCCCAAGTCATCATTCAAAATCACAAAGCAACTTATCACACATGAATGTTTTCAAACAAGTACATAGAACAATTTCTCCTAGACTCAACTAGGGATTTCACGTTTCTATCAAACATATCTTGGATTTCTTAAATTCATTTTCTAGAATTATTTTATGCATAAGCTCGATCTAGCATATCCTAATATTTTTCCTAAGTCGAAAGGAATTTCACTTCCAGACCAAGGTCGGCAACAGACCTTAAACTTTCTCAAGTAATAGCAATATAAGTAAGCAACCTAAGGCATGCTATATTCATTTATCATTTAGCACATATTAGAATATAAGGCATATCTCCTCTAATATTCTAGTGCTTATCCATTTAGGTATTCAACCTAAAGTATACTTGACACACATCATATCATCATCACTTAACAAACCATGTTTAAGTCTAGAAATTCTCAAAATTCCTAGTTCACTTGAACTAATTCTCTAAGAATTTTGAAGTAACTTAATATTTTAAAATACTAGGGTTTATCACTACCCAATACCCCACTTAAGTCTTTCCTATGGTTTGTATCCATATACTTACAAATGACTCCGTTCATATATTGAACGTTAGACAGTTTAAGTCTAAATACTAATCCATGATATTTAGTTCGCTTAAACTAGTGCTCTGATACCATGATTGAAAGAACCCCTTTCTAAACGTTCGTACTAAAGACATTGTCACTCCAAAACATGCTACATGCATATTTATAAAACAATATCTTACATTGATAAAGTGATTACAAAAGATTGGATACAAACCGACTATATTTTAATATTTTACATAACTACCCAGGATATTGTAATTTTATACAAACCTAAACCGAAATACAGAAGTAATTGTAAAAACTATTCTACATCTTCCGACAGTATATAACCATATTGGTTACTTATCTCCTACAATTGTTAAACACTGAGAGGGGTAAGCGGTGACGCTTAGTGAGTTCAACAATAGATACAATATAACGTTATGCCATATATATACTTTAATATGGCAGAAGCAAAGAGGAACAAAGAACAACAAAGGCATATGTGAATCATGTGACAAACTTTCCATATCAATCAATGATTTGATTCAAAGATATACGATCAATGAGACATGACAATTTCTATACTTGATATACACCAATAAAGCTTCGGCCCAAATGGCACAGAAGACATACGCCTTTGATTTAAACATTTCGGTAGATTTCAGGCTTATAGCCCTGTCTAACCATCTGCCAATGTCATAGAATAGAAGTCATTCTCTTACGGAGACATGCTCTACATGGCCAGAGGCTACAAACCAGTACCACCGTGAACCTAAGTCCTTTCACTGATCACATGGTCAAAGATAAAGCTTTGCTATCATAAATAGCAGAAATAAAAATAACACGGGAAAATAACCCGGAATAATAACACTGAAAAGCACATAGCACATATAAAACATAACATACAATTGCTCCTATATATTGAACTCACCGTGAAATAACCGGGGGTTAAAATAGTAATTTGGGCAACACTTCGTTACTATAATTAGCTTTCATCGTTGAAAACCGGGAGTTTTCTTGATAACCGGGCCTTGCGAGGGTTGGGCTTCAAAATCAAAAAGATAAATTTTTCGGGCTTCTCGGGAACTTCGGGGCGTGTTTCGGGCGTTGGAAATAATCTCGGGGCTTCGGGGGAAGTTGAAATAGTAGAAATATAAGTTTAGGGGTGAAAAAGAGACATTTTCTAACATTTATCCGGGAGGTCTCGCACCCCTTATATAGGTACGAGCCTCGGATCCGAAGCAAGAGGGAGAGGGCAGGTGGCTGTGAAACTGCGAGGCTCGGATGCGAGGGTCAGAACAGGTGTGCTTCGGATTGGTCCAGCGTCTCAGATGACGCAGCAACTTCGGACACAGGGGGGGGGGGGTGCACACGCGTCGGATGGCTATTGGACCTCGCATCGCTTGGCTCTCCGGCTCGGACACGCGTCTGCATGCGAGAAGGGCGACGTGGCCGAAGCTGTGCCATGCGATTCTTCTCGGTTTTAGTGATTTTCTCGAATTTTGTGCCCCGAACTTCTAAAATCCATAACTTTCGCATACGAGCTCCGTTTTTGACGTTATTTATATGCACGCGTAGGGAAAATTATGCTATATGACTTTCGTTTAGACTTTGTCGGCTAATTTTGACTTCATTTTTAATATTATTATTTTTAATAGACCGGGACAGGAAAATTCGTTAAAAATTCATAACTTCTTCATCCGACGTCCGTTTTCGTCTGTCTTTTTACCGTTGTACTACTATTGACGAGACCTTCAATTCTCGTTTAGGTTGTGTCGGCTAAAAATCACTCGATCTAAAATTCGAGTTTTTAGTTGTCTACTGTTAGGCTGAAACTTAGAAAAATCATAACTTCCTCATACGAAGTCAGATTTTGGCGTTCTTTTTATCAAAATTCTCGGTTTTAACAAATACTACAACTTTCATTTAGATCACCAAGGCTAAAAAGTAGTTTATCAAAAACTCACTTTTTACGTCATTCGACGCCGTGCCGGTTTGTCGCGGATCTTCGATTGGTCATAACTTCTTCGTTATAACTCGAATTTCGATGAGGTCTTCGCCTAAATGTTTCTAACGAGATTCTTTACAACTTTCAATAATAAAATTTTACTTATTTCAAATTTTATATTTTCGTTAAATTTCAATATAATGTTTGGAATCTCATAAGACTTCCAAAACATTTTGGATGATTCTAAACATAGTTTTACTTCATTTCTAGTAAAAACTATCCGTTAGAACTCAATACTCATAATTATATAATATTTCATAATATTATTCACTTTTAAAATTACATAACACGATAACTGAACGTGTATGTTACATTGGACCCATAGTATGTTGACATTCCAACCTAATGGTTGAGGGCCGAGGGTATTCCAACCCGATGGTTGATTGGACCCATAGTATGTTGGTATTCCAACCCGATGGTTGATTGGACCCATAGTATGCTATTTTGTATATGTGCTATTGTTTGTGTGTTGGTACTTTGGGGGAACTCACTAGGCTTCGTGCTTACAGTTTTGGTTTATGGTTTCAGGTACTTCAGTAGATCGTGGCAAGGTGAAGACGTGATCGTACACATCCTCGTGTTTTGGGGACTTATGATTTATGGGATACTCTGATAACGAAATGTTTTGAAAACTATGTTGTAAATGACTCTGATTTTGAATAATATTTCTGGACACAATGGTTTTGTAAACACTTTTTAGAGAAATGGTTGTTTTGAAAAGTTTAAATTTTATTGAAATTTTATGGATGTTACAATTATACCTTAAATACGGACGTTACAACAATGTATATACTACAATATGTAACTGATGTATTAAAAACGAAATCGTAACAGTCAATTTAAAGAGCATAATTAATTGAGAAATCAAAATTGAAAATCATGATTAATAACTTTTAATTTTGTTTTGTAATTGTTAACTAAAAAGGAAAATAATTGCAAAAATGTCCTTGAACTTTTCTGGTCGATCGGTGGTGCATTTGTACCTCTGTTTGCGCGCGTAAGAGAGTGCGTTGAGATTCTATAAGTCTTACAAATGCTAGTCTTTATAGTTATAAACTCATTTTCTTTTCATACTCCCACCAATGTGGGATGAGTTAAAAACCACTTAACCCATTTATTAATCTCTTCCAACTGCCCTATTTTGACGAATAATTTCTCATTCATTTTTAATATGTTTTGAATGTGTAATATATCAAAACGAATGTATCACGGAAGATAATACAAATATATATACTCATTAGTCCGTTTTGATTATATTTAGAATCTGAAATTCATGTTCAAAAATGAGAAAAAAAACCATTTTTAGAAGTTAGTAAAATTAGTTTTTCAAGAAATAGTAGAGAAGATGATAATTGATATGGTACATGGTTGAATCATATTCTTAATTATTTACATTAGTTATTCTTTGACAGCGGCTATTTACCAATTATGAATAACCATCTAGTAACTATTAAGTTATATTTTTTAAGGTGATTGATACAATTAAAATCTAGTAACAATTAAGTTATATTCTTTTAAGGCGATTGATACAATTAAAACACATTAGATATTCAACTAAATGGGTTAAAAAAAGAAGAACCTAAAATTTGTTTTAGGTAGGTGCGTACTTTTTGTGTTTTACTTTAAATGTTTTTTTTATAGGGGCGGTCGTGAGGATGTAAATATCCTCAAATGTCCAGGACGAGTCAGAGAAAAATAGCCTTTATCGCTATGAAGTTTTTTATTTATAAAAAATACTATTAGGTCGTGTACATTTGTCTACTTTGCCACTCCTCACGCCCCCATGCTTTTTGGTGGAATGACTTAATAGTCTTTTTATACCTAACTTTCATGGTAATTTAATTATATATGATGCAAAATATCCTATCAAGCAAGAAGAAGGAAAGAGTAAGTATAATGATCAATCATAACCATGTAAATTATATTGATCTAGAATGTTATCTTTAATTTATATATATATATATAATAATAATAATAATAATAATAACTAGAAAAGATTCACCGGCGTTGCCGGGTCGGAAGGTATTGCTTTGTAAAGTAAAGTAACATGTTGGTTGTTTTTTGTCCGTTAATGTGAGGGTAATTTGGTCTTTTCAGGTAGTAGGGACTGAATTTGTCACCATGGGTAAACCATATGGACCATTTATGTAATTTTGGCGGTGGTGGTGATGGCAAATGGTGGGTGAGTTTATGGTATTGGGTGGATATTTTCTAATAAATAAAACATTAATTTAAAACCAAAAAGAGAATGTTAAATCTGGTAAACCACAGGGACCAATCGTGTAATTTTGTCTAACAATAATAATAATAATGATGAGGGACCATTTCTGCCAAAAGACTAAATACTAATAATATGTAATAAAATGCGAGGGTCATGAAAAATTCAAACCAAAGTGAAAGGGTTGTTTGTGAACAAAAGCATAAAGATGAAGGGTCAATGTTGTAAGTTGGAGGACCAAAATTGACAAAAAAGGTGTCACTTTACTGTTAAAATCTTTCATAACTTTAATATATAATAATAATAATAATAATAATAATAATAATAATAATAATAAAATTTATATATTAATATTAATTATGCGGTGTGCTGCGGTTTGAACCGCGATTTTATAACTATAAACCACAAACCATACCGCATAATGCGGTTTACAAAAATTATGAACCTCAAACTGCACCGCAAATGTTCAAAACCACATTATGCGGTGCGGGCAATTTGTATGATTTTTTGCATACATCTAGTTCATAAAGTCAATTTGTTCATACATTTGCAACCTCATCGCATGTAAACGAGAGGAAGAGGTATATTATGGTTCACATTTATGAGTCTTACAACACTTAGAAGTCTATGGGTGTGTTCGACAAAACTATCTGGTAGCGTGTAGCTTGTAGTGGGTAGTTTGTAGCTTGTAATGTTTTGTTAAACACTACATGAAGTAGCATTTAGATTTGAAACTTTCTGTTTAAACTAAATGCTAGAAGCTTGCGGTGTCAAACGAGATTTTCTGTTCAAAAAGTAGCGTTTTGTCAAACACTAGAAGCTAGAAACTCTCAAACGCTCCATGTCGAACATACCATATGTAAAACCATTTTCTTTTCACTTTCCCATATATATGTGATGACTTAAAAGACATTTAGTCGCTTAATCAATGTCTTACTTTGGTAATTAGTTTCTCATTCATTTAAAGTTTGTTTTGGACTTTAAATGGCAGAACAAAGATGCCACAAAAGAGAATATAAATGTATAACATTTTTTTATTTTTAGAATGTATAAAGCCGGTAATATTGTTGAAAAAAATGGGAAAAATCCTATTTTTGGGAAATGGCCAAACCTACTTTTATTTAACACATTTAACACCGTCATCATCAAACAAAACCAACAAATTAGCAAAATAGATCGTTGCAGCTATCCTATAACATATGTCCTAGGAGCATACTATAACGATCAAGTTAGATCATATCATCAGATAGATGGAGTAGAGTTGGTTCTCCCAAATAAGAGAAAGATCTCTAATAAATGAAAAGAATATTGTTTGGGTGGAAAAAATGATAACTAGTAATGTGTGAACACCTTGTCTAATTATAAGTAAGAGGTATATATTGCTCTCAACATCAAAAGATGAAGCTAGATATGGATATTTCATCATCATTAACATAATAAATCTATGTTTTAACCACAAACATAATTTATAAGGTACTAATAGATTACGAAAAATCATGTTAATTATAACAAAGACAATAATTTTATACGTCTTGTTAAGTTTGAAAATTGTTATTTTGACAAGGGACATACCATCTCATGAACTTATGATTACAGTTATAATTCTTTTTGGAAAAATCAATGATCAATAACAGTTTATAAAACAAACGATGTTATTTGATAGATCAAATCCGAAAAATAAAAAGATAGCCTAATAATTTGCTTTTAAGTATTTTATAAGTTTTATAACCTTTGTTTCCACTTGCCAATTATGTTTTTGCCAAATACTCAAAGTGAATATACCAAAATACCCTTCCTCTTTTTGAAACAAAGAAGATGATTAGATTCATCATCTCCACTATAAATAAACATTCTTTGTTGCCCAATACTTGAAAAAAAAAAAAGCCCTAGTTTTAATTTTCCCATCACATCTCTTCTTCACCCCTCTTTCAATCTTCCCCTTAAAAGCCCCTTTTCAATAAATAAAACCCAAAGGGGCTAAAGAGAAGGAAAGACACAAAGACGAGGCCCCTTTACGCAGCACAAAAAACTGGTAATGTTTCTCCCCTTTGAAAATTCGTGACAAAATTCTTTGAATTTTTTCTTTTTTTCGTATCTTCTTCTGTTCAAAAAACTTGAAATGTCTCTTCCACCCTCCCCTCTAGCCCTCTCTCTCTTCCCACCTGCGTTTCTTGAGAGAGAGAAAGGGCGGGGAGTTCAAAATCGTCTAAATTTTTTTCCTCCCTCGTTTCATCTCAAGCCCTAAAAACCAGATTTAAAACCCTTAGATTGTTAATTTGAACTTATTTGGGTGACTCTTTGTTTTGTTTTTCACTTCATTTTTCTTTTTGTAGAATTTTGTTTAGTTCATGCAATCCTGTTTGATTTCTATACGATCTATTATACGCTTTGTTTAGATTTGTAAATGAACTCATCTGGGTAACTCCTTATTATTTTTTTTGTAGAATTTTGTTTTGCTTCTCGTAATCCTGTTATATGTCAAACGATCTATTATTATCATGTCTGTTTAGGGTTTGAAAAACTTGAATAATGGCAGGGTGGTCAAAGCTAGCAGATGGGTGTGCATTAGATTGTTTTAGAACCCTAGAAGAGATTCACAAAATTGGGGTTTCTATAAAATGTGGTGAATTCGATACTAAGTTCACTAAATCATTCAATCAAATTGTTTCTAGGTTCTCAAAAGAGATCTGTCAAAATAATTGTTTCACACCCTTTCCCCCAATGCTTGGAGATGGTAAACCTATTGATTTGTTGACGCTTTATTTGTGTGTGAGAGAAAAAGGTGGATACGAGAGTGTTTCCAGATATGGGATTTGGGATTTGGTAGCAAAAGAAATCGGGTTCAATTCGAATGATTCTGCATACTTGAAGGTGGTTTACTTAAAGTATCTTGAGTCATTGGAACAATGGTTTTGTAAAATTGTTAAAGATAAAGATTCAGTGAAGAATTCAGATATGAATTTTGATCCTCGGAAATTCTTTTTGGATGTTGAGATGAAAGATTACAACGAGTTTGTTGATACAAATGTGAAGAAAGAATCAGAAGTTATAGATTTGGAGAATATTGTTGAAAGATTTGATGTTGAAGAAAATGAGTCAAGTAAAAAGAGGAAAAGAGAAAGATATTTGCCATTGTTGGATTGGGTGAAACGAGTGGCAAAAGACCCTTGTGACCCTGCAATTGGGATTATACCTGAAAGGAATAAATGGAAGGCTTATGGAGGTGAACATGTTTGGAAGCAGGTTTTATCAGCTCGTGAAGCAAGACTTTTGCAACTTGATCTTGATTCCAAGGCTAAAGTTATATGGCAGGTATTTTTCGATTTAATTTTAATATTTTCTTGTTTTTGATATATATCAATTTTGCTATTTGAATTTATGACACTTTAGTGTTTAATAAGGCAATTTACAGAGACACCATTATTCTGGTTTAACAACTTATACTTTATTTTTATCCAATCAAAACCATATTAAGATTTTTTACATTTTCCAATTTAACCATTTTGAGTTGATATTATGTAATAATAGGTCATAATGGTTAATTTGGAAAATGTATGAATTTTTATGGTTTGATTGGAAAAATAAAGTATCAGTGGTTAAGCAGAAAATACAATGGTTTTCTTTTTCCTGTAAACTGTCCTTTAAAGATTATATGATTAGCAATTTCTAAATTGGGAAAAAAGAAAAAGTATAGGTGGAATAAATAATCTGTAGTAGGTAAAAGTGTAAAACCTTGTTTTAAAGTCTCATTAAAATGGAACAAAAATGACCTCTTAAATTGGGTTTAAGGTGGAATAAATGATCTGTTTGCCTTTTTCCACAATTACAAATTTATGAAGGGTGTTTGGTTGTGTTCTTTGGAAGTGATTTTATGATATTGACTATGTCTAAATGCAAAAAAATAACAATGTATTTAAATTAAGATAATGTTTTGAATTTTATTAAATTGTTAAGAATAAGTTTTTTGTCATTGCTTTTATTATTCTTTTAATCATTTTGTATAAAGCAGGGGTGCTTTTATCTATCTTTGTCAATTGACATTGATCATGACTAGAAGCGACATAATAGATTGGCGTCTTCATTTTGTTTGATTTATATAAATAATTAATGTATCTAATATAATCAAAATATTTATATCATTAAAATAAAAATTATGTATTTAATTACATGGTTCATTTGTTAAATATAATGTACTTATGTATGTAGATAGTGTAATGCAAAACTGTAGTCGGTGAAAATAATTTTGGAAATTAGGCTTTAAATATAATATACTTATTTTATGCATTAATTACTAGGTTTTTAAAATTTGACTAACGTCTTTTTGATACAGTAGTCTATATATTTTATTATTATCAGACAATGATAACAAAAAGAAATTATTCATGTATAATTAATTTTGAATTACGAATTGTAATTTTTCAATTATGTGTTGTATATTATTATATGTATTGTGTTATAAATTATTAAAATAGCATTACTGTTCTAAATAAGTTTGAAACATAAAAATAAAATATAACATATATCATAAATTAATATCAGCTTAATTTATATTATAATATTACAAGTTTTAAACATTACAAAGTAGATTTTAACACCCAATTCGGTGTGAATGACTAGTATACACATGTGTACATACATACATACATACATACAATAGTTTTGCAAATTTACATTTATCTCAAAATCAAATATCCTACAACTTGTTTGCTTCAAATTCTAGTTATTGCAACCCTAAATGATTTACAAAGAAAACCACTATATTTTTTGCAAATTTTCACTATAATTCGTTTTTGTTAAACACACATCCAAACATCCACATGGTTTAACAAAAGTATTTGACGTCTGTAAAATTCCTAAAATGCCCTTGTATCTTTTGCAGAAAAAAAATCATATGCATCCGGCAATGTACGAAGACCGAACAGAAAAGTCAACATCAAGATTCAGTCAAAGGCTCATTACAGCTAAAGAAACCCAATCAATCCACCCTTCAAGAAAACCCCCAACACAAGATTCCCCCGAGTCATCTTCGGGCAGCCCGAGTGACCGTGACCGAGATGAAGAACATTCGTTCTACGGTTGCAACTTAAGGCGAAAACGCACCCCATTGGGCCGGTCATTTCAAGCCAAACTGCCCGAACTGCCCGAACCCGATTACTCACCCGACCCTAAATGGCTAGGCACCCAAATTTGGCCCTTACAAAAAGGCGAAACAAGAAGTAGTTTACTTGAGCTTGACCGAATCGGAAAGGGCAGGCAAGATTCATGTGGCTGCCAGTTTCAAGGCTCGCTAGAATGCGTAAAGTTTCATATTTCCGAAAAAAGAAACCGAGGCAAACTTGAACTCGGGTCCGCTTTCTATAAATGGAAATTTAATGAGATGGGTGAAAATGTCGCGATAAGTTGGACACGAGATGAAGAAAAGAAGTTTGAGGAGATAATAAAATCAACTCCGTCTTCTACGGGCAGGAGTTTTTGGGATGAATTAAGGCGCAATTTTAAGAACAAAAGTATGCGGGCTATGGTGAGCTACTATTTCAACGTGTATCTTTTGAGGCGTAGGGCCCACCAGAATCGATCGGATCCAAACAATATAGATAGTGATGATGATGAGTTTGAGAAAATTGAGAATGAAGCAAACAAGAATGATACGGGTTCGATCTTGTGTTCCCCAAAGAAGGTGCATTTAAATGCTAGATGATGTTTTCTTAAATGTGTTTAGTGTAAGTTTGTTGGTTTTTTTTTGGCATGAATCTATGTGTTTTTTGTTATAGAGATTTTGACTCAATTGAAAAGGGAAGAAAGAGGGTTTAAGTGTTTGAACTTTTATGGTTATTAATGTACATGGAAAGAGGTATTTGTGGTTTTGATGTTTTTGGTTAATTTGGTTTTTCACAAGTCTTTAGTTTATTTTGATGTATCTACATGAAGGTTTATGTTGCACCTAGGAACATATATGATATGCGTCTACTAGTTCTAATCTTCTTATTGGTATGTACAATTGGATATGTTTATAAAGGATAAGTACCAAATATCTGACTTCAAATCCTGTATAGTGGTTACATGTGTTTGAATTGCTTCGTATCATTTATGACCTCATTTCGGAATTGTCTCTAGGCTATATGATATTTGTTTGGATTTTATCAAGGTTGTTAGAAATATGAGTTTTAAAACTTGATTTAAGATAGCCAGAAAATATATGAATCTTAAAAGTTGTTCTTAGACAATCGATTTTTTGGATTTGGATAGTAAACCTTGAAAATTTAGGATTCATATCAAATGAGTCCACTTTTATAATGGTCATACATGGTTAATCATGGTATTTGTGCTATGTATTTTCATTGTGGTAAGTGACTAATTGTTATATGAAGATTGTTGTTGCATGTTAGTTATTGTGTTTGTCTGTAGATTTAATTGTTAGGTAAAAAAGTGAAGAGTAGTTGCTAATTTGACTTGTCAAAGTGGTAATAAGGTCCAACAATTATTCTAAATTGTGTCATGATAGTGCCCAAATAATACGTATTAATTTCGTTGTCGTAAATTAGGATATTGTTTTTGGATTATCTCAAATGTGATTTTATGTTATCCAAAACATTGTGGTTGAAATTACATATTTTCGAAATCATTTTATACATGATGATTGTGTTGGATTTGGTATGAACTAATGAAAGAAACAAGAAATTTACAGTACAGTTGATTATAAAGGAACATTAGATGGTTTAAAAGAAATTTAAAGTACGGGTGGGATCAAATACACCCTACACTGTGAAACATTTTTATCTTCTATTGCAAAATAACCAATAAAAGTGCGTGTAGTGTCCGTGTTTCTGGCTAAGCATTACTATGATGATGTAATAGTTAGGGTCAACAATTGTAACCTATTTTGAAGTAATAAAGAAGAATTATTTGAGTATTATATGATTTATATGATTTTATGTGCATTATACTTATTTATAACGACATAATAAAATAGTAATAAAAATAAGCATCAAAAATAAACTAATAGATAGACCCAATATCTATGAAGAAAGTTGAAGTAGTCGTAACAAGGATTTCGAGGATATAAGAAACGCTGAAATCCGACTTATAACGAAGAAGTTATGACATGTCGAAGTTTTGCGGCAAAACCGACACGGTACCGGGAATCGTAAAAAGTGAATTTACGATAAAATACTTTTTAGCCTTAGCGATCTAAATTAAAGTTGTAGTACTCGTAAATACCAACGCGTGGATATAAAGAACATCGAGAATAGAGCTCATATGTTAAAGATATGGACGAAACTTAATGTCTACTCTTCGAGCGCGATAAATTTGATACAGTTATGTAAATCTAAGATAGAATGAGAATTAGCCAAACCGGGTCTAAATGAAGTTGTAGTACTCGTAAATACCAACGCGTGGATATAAAGAACGTAGAAAACGGAGCTCATACGCGGAAGATACGGACGAAACTTAGGGCATACTCTATGATCAAACCCCTATAAATAAATGATGAATTCTTTATATTTTCTTACACCATTCCTCTAAACTATCTCTAGAATCCTTCTTTCTTTCTTGTTAAATTTCTCTTAGTTTTAGGGTGCGATAGAGAAACTCCGAGTCGTCAAAAAGCCGACGAAAGAAGTTTTTAGAGTCGGAGTTCTGCCTGCGTAATTTCCCGATTTTCGTTAAAAACTCGGTAAGTTAAGCTACACTATTCTGTTTTCAGTATAACTTATATTTATAGTCATAAGTCGTTATTATGAACCTATAAACGACATATGTACTAAGTATTATAGAATATAAAGTGTTATTATAATATCTTTTAGCTACTCGTGGTACGGAGAATCTGGTTTGAAAGGTTGCATAGGGTTGTTGGATTTTAGAAGTGATATAATGCCAAAATGGTCCTGTCCTCCGGTGTTTCATGTCTGGCCCCTGTCTGTACATAGTGGTTGAAAAGTATTGTTTAACACTTATAAAATAATAACGCTCGTAAATAGTCGCGATAAATATTAGACTAAAATCTAGTGGTAATAATACCAGGTTTTGTCGAAGGAAAACAAATTATTAGAAGCGAAGCGCTACCCGAGTTGGGAATCATCACTTTAACAAGTGAGTGCATAGTTACTTTCATCTTACACATAGATATGAAGTATTTAATATAAATTACGTGCTATGTGTGCATATTATTTGTGTTCCTGATATCTATGTTGGATGAACGATTTATACATGTTTTAAATGATTTAAACTGTATATGTATTTTATATCTACGAATATGTTGGGTAGAACATAGGTAGATGAAATAGTTGATGTGTGATGGAATAAAATGATGAGAGACCTCGATGTTTACGATGATCCAGTCGGCAAGCGGAGTTTAGATGATGATCACGGACTATTCTAGACAGTCTAGTGGAACGCTAGCAGACTCGCAACATGTAGGTGTTTGTGAACGATGTGTTCACCGGTATAATCCATCCCCCCTCATGGTTGCCTTGCAGACATATATTGTTGAGGAATCCCCTTAGCAGTAGTGTCCATCCCGATGAAAATCCTTAGACTAGGTCCCTTGAATTAGATGCTTTAGGGACATAAATTGAGGATAACGGGAATGAGTAATTGGGTTAATTGATTTGATGAAACTAATAAACTTAATTATAGTGGGTTGAAAACCCTATGTGCTCACCAGGCTCCCAAGCCTGACTGGCTCAGTTTCTTGTATTACAAGTAGTGGCACAAGAGCATAGATGTGATGATCGGATGAGAGTTTATGGATTATAGGTAAGTAGATATAAATAAATGTTGTAAGGCCTATGTTGTTTCGGTTTATGCTTTTGATCTGTATTGACAATGACATCCCGAGGTTTTAATATAATGAAATACATTTCTTCGGAAAATCTTTGATAAAATCTTTATCATATTTTTGGGAACAAATTCCACAACACTTTCTTTAAAAAGTTACTCTGATTTTTATATAAAGCATAAACAAAATCGGTATTTTCTGGCCGTGAAAATGGGGATGTCACAGTATGAAACCTGCAAGTTTTCGAAGTTATTTATTTTTTTTGAAAAAAACTTGCTTTTTACAACAAAAAGACTTGCTAAAATATGCTATGAATTTTCATGAATTAACGAGTCTCATTTAACGAGAATTGTGGTTTTTTCATAATAGATGGTAAGTGGAGTGGTTTTGGGGTAATATATGAGCTTTAAAAGTGAAACTATAACATCCTGTTTTGAGAAGTTCTTATTCCAAGATTTTGGACAATAAATGGATCAAGTAAAGGCCTTGGGCTTCAAAGGAATAGGTTTTAGACCCTATTGGATGTTGATAATATTGATTATGTGATCCAAGCCCTTGGTTTGTGTTTTGGAATCAAAGGGTAAATTGAGAAAAATGATGTTTCGGGCTTCTTTCATGAATTAAGGATTTTAGTTAGGTATGTTTTAAGTCAAAAGTAATTAGACAGAATTGTGGAGCTCTTCAATACCTTTTTGTGCATATAAAGAACGCCAAAAATAGAGTTGAAACAAAGAAGTTATGACTGTTTGAAGTTGAAGTGGAAATTGGGGTTTTATCCTACATAGGGTGTAGGAAAGTTAGGCAGGGCGTAGCCGCTACGCAGGGCGCAACTTGCTAAGTGTGGATCGCGTTTCTAATGTGTTATGCATGACGTAACTTAGGTTACGCAGGGCGTAATTGTTGGATTAGTGTCTAAGCCCGTAACTATATTTGGTATGTGCTTGACCCGGTTGTGCATGGTCCTTTTGGGTTGCCTTCACCAAAGCAACTTGACTGGATGAATAATAGAGAAAGAGGTTATTATGGTTTATTAATATATTATAAGAATAATATATTAAAAGAAGAGAAATCATATTTATTTAATTAACATTGGTCAAGAATTAGTTTTGTGGTCAAAAGAGGTTAATTGAATTAAAGGGGACTGAACTTGTAATTATGTGATAGTTGCAAAGTTGGGTAAGGAAACCCTAGAGTATAGGGTGGACGAATTCTAAGGATAAGGCCTTAGGAATTCATCCAAGGGGGTTCTAGAATTATCCATGGGCTGCTTGGTGGCTAAGTAACCAGATAAGGATAATCACTGAAACCCTAATTCCCACACCTATATAAAGACCCCTTGGGCATGAGATTTCGGCTACACTGAAACCCTAGGAGTCTTGGAGCCGATTTTTCCCTCTCCCCTCTCTCTCTTGCTTCATCCAATTGCTTTTGGTGTTCGTGATTCATTAGAGGCACATCATTTGGGGTGATAAGGTTCTCAAAGCTTCAAGATCTACAATCAACAATCAAGGTATTCATCTAACTAGTTTATTTGATATTCAATTAGTTTTGTTGTATGCTAGATTAGGGTTTACAAGCTTTGGATAAATTTGCATGTACAATAGAGAAACCTAGATCCAAAGCTTTAGGGTTTTGCATGTGCACATAAGATGTTCTTTTGCTCAAAACCCATCAGTGGTATCAGAGCCTTGCTTGGTTTCTATTGTATTTGATGCTTGGTATGTTTTTCCATTGCTTAAAATCGTTTTTCATGCAATCTGCATGACAGACTCGTCGAGCTGTAACATCCCGTTTAAATGGAGTAATTAGATAATAAATCAGGAATCCCGAGAAGTAATTATTATGATTTCTGAAGATGGGGGTTTTTGTTTCTCTTCCTTGCTCGCCCCTATCTGATAATATGAAATTAGTTGTCACTTGTAGATTTCTGGCCCTAATTATAGTCTAACTAAAATGCATTCAGAAGAAAATCAAAATGAAAACTTCAATAGAACAGAGGTGTGCTTATTTTGTTATTGATGTCTTCCAAACATAAATAAAGCTTAGCTAAAGCCAAAGGTAAGGCCTGAGCATAGTTCCACCAGCTGTAAATTAAGAAAATAAATATTAATAAAGCTTTGAAACCTTCAATTGAGTTGTTCACCCATAAAAACCTTTTTATAGTGTTTTGCACCCAAACACTAGTTGAATTGTACTTACATGGTACTGGTTAAGAAGATGGATCAGCTTTCTGACAAGACTTCAAACGAAAGTAATGCGAAAACTGAGTCACCAACCATAATCATTAACAATTCCTCATCGTCTCTTCTTCAATCGACCCTAACATTCTTTACATGACACGACTCGTGAGATTCAGTTTTTGCATTTGAGGCATGATTTTAATAATATGTGTATAGATTTACTGACCTGAGAGTGAAGGTTCTCTGATTTATCCATCAGAAGTTCAATCTTTTCTCCACGATGAAGAACCTACAGATTAAAAATGATACAAACACTAATAATCATAATAATAATGATGATGATACAATACATCAAAAAGGGGTAATGTGTTCCATTATCTGATAAAACAACTAATAAGTTTTACCTTCTCAATGTTCTCCATCATCACATCCTTGACCTCTGAAACCTAGGCTTTCACCGTTGCAAGGTTGTTGATATCTTCTGAATGGTCTACACAATACTGCGTCTGTTACTTCAGATTGGGAGCGGAGACAATGATGTGTGAGTATATTTTAGATTATTAGTTGTACAAGAGGGATATTAGAGATTAGAGAATGAAGCAAAATGGAATATTACCCAATTCTTTGTTAAGACTGTTACCAACAGTTGTAGCAACTTTCCCACCTCCATATTTCTTAGTGAAATCCTCCTTTGGTCGCTCAAGAAAAGTCACAGGAACCTGTCTAGCAACAAATTCAACCGCGACAAAACAATATGCTACATAATTCAATCACATGTTAAACATAGAGTTAGTCAACGTGTGTAGAGAAAACTGACTGAATCAAGTTTGTGGGTATTACGGAGCCGTTCACCTTAACACTCGAAATTAACCGGTGTGGTGGAGTCGGTGTTTTCTGCTTCCCCTTTGTTCCTGAGGCAAGTAAAGTCATTGATTTGATTTCGTGGAGATATAACATGGTTTCAAGGTTCAAGATTAGGGTCTGACATGAAGGGGAGTCGGCATAGACCTTTGAGATATAGCTTTATCTTTTCAAGAACTCAAATTACAGAATATAAGAAGAATAAATTAGGTATAGCTACCTTAAAGTAGAAACCTTCAATTGGGAATTCTTCTAATCTTCTGGTCTCGATGCTTGCAGTTGTGTAATACCAGCTTGCAATAAAAAACAACAAAGTAACTAAATTTTGAAAAGGACACAAATACACATATATAAACACCTACATATAAGAGACGAACACACAGATACACATACCTACACACAGAGATACATAACAAATGGTCAGCAATTGAAGTTCTTGTAAGATTGTGCGAAGTTGGTGGACATGTTGCACAGAGAACAGATGTTCAGCAATTGAAAAAACCCCGAAACAAAGAGGGGTTTTTTGGGTGTCGGAGTTGCAGAGAACACATGTTTATAATTACGATGAATAGGTTGAATCGAAGGAAATAAGGTAGATGGTTGACGATCGGAGAGAGAAGCGGTGGACATCATATGTAGACTGCAAAATCAAAAAAAGAAAAGAAAATAAGGGTCGGTATATCTTCATCTGCATCAATTGGAATTCGATCGTCTTCGTCGCGTCGAGGATCTCACAGGCTTGGTTGGATGAATTTCGGAACTTGAAAGAAAACACGGATGTCGAAATTGAGATATATGAAAGAAATACGTGGTCGGAGGTAACTTGGGACTGGTCGCCGACTGCTGCTCCTTTATCATTCGTCGATCACCAGCAACAGCTCGAACGTCAGTCACCGAGGGAGAGAGACGATGTGGGAAAGAATTGAGAAAATGAAGCCTCTAGCTTACGACTATCAAAGAAGCAAAGAAGAATATAAAGAAAACAGAAACGAACCGCATTGGAGGAGAAAGGCAGCAACCGACCTAGACGAGAAGAAGATAATCACGAAGCAAAGCAGAAGTTCCAGCGAGGAAAAGAAGATAATCACCAGTAAAATCGGAAGTTCTAGTGGCCAAAATAAGAAAGGAGAATACTTCCGTGTGCAAATAAGAAAGAGAGGAAAAGTTGTTGTTCCTCAAGTTTTTAGCAATTAATAATATATATAAATGACTTTTTTTATTTAAAAGAGGAAAAAAAAAAAAAAAGATCCCACCTGCCGGATTCGAACCAGCGACCTAAGGATTTCAGCAATCTACAAACTACAGTCCTCCGCTCTACCAACTGAGCTAAGGTCGGTTTTGTTATTTAATTTAGTTTATAAAATATATAGAACCAATATGTTACTTTATAAATGAGCAAAATTAAAGTTATCTTCTACTACCTATGTAATTGGTCTAAAGTAGGTCTGTAATCAAGCATGAATTCAATACGATGATTTTAACGAGCTTTTATCATGTAGGCCCGAGTTTGATTCCCCGATTCGAGAGATCAAAACCGTTTTTAATTTGAGAGCTAAATAAAGTTTAATTCGAATGATTTCGAACAATTGGATAAATGCAAGACTCTTTTGCAACCTAATTACGTGTATATTAAAACTTACTTACTTATTAGATATGACTTCAAAACTTTGATAAGAATACGACTATACGAGTCCCTGTAATTAGCTCAACTTCAATTCTTTATATGTTTCAAGCTTGACTATATCTTTAAAATAACCTCTCTTTTTTTATTTTTTCATAAAATGCTTGATAAATAATAACACAAAAAATAATACCATAGTCATTCAACATTGTATTATTGTACTCGTGCTCTATGAAGCATCTCATACTTGTACTCTACTACATCTCATACTTGTACTCTACCAATGACACAAAAATGCAAAAAGCAACGCGTCACAGTAAATACTTTCTCTCCAAACACACGCAAACCCACTCATCTTATCCGTACAGCAACTGCATTAGATATTATATTGACGATAAATCAACAAAAATAGTCCTTCGACTTTCTATATCTTGCAAACTTTTTTTTTTGTGTATATTACATTTACAGTCCCTCAACCAAACTGAGTTAACGTTTTTGTCTATGTGCCTGACAATGTTGAACCAATTTGGTTAAGCATGCTTGTGATAAATATATATATGTGTGTGGTTTTAAGTCAAAGTGACTTCAAGAAGGATAAAGCATTAAAGTGTATATAAGAAATTTTTAAAAAACATATTTTCAGAATCAACGTTTAATAATCCATTTATAAATTTATAGTTAAGAGGGTGTTTGACAAAGCTTAAAAAATAAACTTTTTTGACTTATTACCGATTCTACATTGGTATAAGTTAAAAAAAATGTTTGGGTAAAAGCTTTTTAAAAAAACAGCTTATAGCTGTTTGAAATCACCAATAAATCATTTTTTAATAAGTCACTTATCTATTACTTATCAAAAACTTATTATTTCACCATTTAAAGAAAATTGACAAATATACCTATTAACCTATACCTAAATCGACACAAAATCATACGCTATAAGTTAATAAGTTTATAATGTTTTGACACCGAATAAGCTTAGCCAAATATTTTTTTTAAAAATTCCGTTTTGATACCTATATAAGTTAATAAACTATAAGTTAAAAAGTTAAAAGCTATTTTAAATAAGCTTTGCCAAACACCCTCCAAATAAAATACTTTATAACACTTATTAAAAGTCAAATTTTCTTTTAAGTAATCATGTCAGTTTATACTTTATAATATACTCTAAAAATTTTGTTATCTAGCAATAGCAACATATTTGTTCGTCAAATTCAATTATTTTAACTCTTAATATCATAAATAAAACTAGTTTTGTAGCACATCTAAACACCCTCTACATTTCCTATTCCTACTACAAGACCTCGTAACCCGTCATTTACTTTGTCCTCCACTTTCTTTATGTAATCATAGCCATGCAAATGTCTCCAGAGACAAGACTTAATATTTTGTAATGTTTTATTTTTAATAGAGGAACTAAACTTAGATTCAACTCGATTATGTGGTTACAAAATCCGATTTTGACTATCTATGTTTTATATTCCATTCCCCCCCCCCCCCCCCCCTATTTTGAGCTTCTTGTTAGTCTAATATAAATTATTTGTTCAAAAAACATATTTTACCATACTTTTGGAATGACCAGAGATGCTTTGATTATTGTATGATGCTTATTGCATTTTCATAACTATTAAGTTGTTCAGTAAATGTTTTTGTTAAACTTTTTACCATCGAATAGTTTAAGACAATCATGACTTATTTTGAGTTTTTTAGAGATCATTAATGTTTAAAATTTAGTTAGAGAAAGACAAAGATAACTGCTACTATAACTGGATTGGAATCTTTACAACTATCCATAAAGCATATTTAAAGGGAGATGTAAAAGTTGTTCATTTGGAAATATGGTCCACAAAACTACTATTGTCAATAGACACTCATTTGGAAATATGGTCCACAAAACTATTATTGTCATTTGGCAAGTTTTTCATCTCCCAACAAAATATGATATTATGATCTAACTTTATCAAGAGTAGATTTAGGGTGTGTGTGAGTTGGTTGTATTTGATAATTATTGTTAAATATAAGAAATAACAATGTATTTTTGATGATTTGTTTATTATAATGTTATATTTTTTTTATTATGCAACTGAAATTTGAAAATTTTAACAAATTCTAGTTATATTATCTAAGCATAATGCAATTTTCATTGACATAACTTCATAGATCTTTGAAACTATAATGTAATGAGAAAAAAACACAATAGACCAACAATACAAAGAAGAAGAGATAAGATTGATATCACAATGAAGAACAAATAGAATTTATATTTGTTTATCTTATTTACAACTTATTTTGAAAAATGATTATCATTATTTTATGGATCTCACTTACATATTATGCAACATATATACATATGCATTTTTTTAAGTATGATCTACTTGTTGTTATTATAAATGAAGACAAACTTATAAAATAAAAGAACATATAACGAAAAAATATATATAAAGAAATTCTTAACAAGAATTGTTTAACAATGAATGGGAAAAACGAAAAGGTTTAACAATTTGTAATCTAGCGACTGTAACATTCAAAATAAATAACTGAAGGGACAGATTTTGCATCTTAGTGTACAGCCTAGGGACTACATTTGTAATTCACTCTATTATTGAATCTCCGCTATACGACGTTAGTAACCGACGATCGCCGGTAAACGGATTCTCTTATCTTCTTGACATTACCGGCTATACCCGGTTTCACTTTATCTCTTTACCCCTTACCATCGTGTACAACTTATATATTGTCACGAAAAACGCATTTTCAATCATATCGCCGGTACCGGAGTTACTCCCCCACCGTCTCCGATCTCTCAGTCGGAAACTTGCTCTCTCTATTGTAAGTACATCTGCACCTCTGCTCACGACGATCTGATCATTATGTAGTTAATAAGTTAGTTTTTCATCGATCGGCTTTGCTATCTCGAACTTTAATCGTGATCCTAGCGTTTCAATCGTGTGTAAATATGTGATGCGATCTAGGTTTTTGACCTAGTTTGTGGAATATTCGTTTTTTAGAGGGAGGAAGTTCAAAAACTTGGTTAGTTTTGTGTAATTTTTTAGTTTCAGTTGACTCAACTTGTTCGTTCTTCGATGAAGAATTCGTATGTCGGTTATTTTTAATTGATTAGATCTATGTTTGTTCTCCGCCAGAAATCTACTCGCCGATTATTTGACAGTTTATCTCTTAGAATTTTCTTCTTGTTGTGAATGATGAGACAACTGAAATAAGATTGACCTGATAATAAATGCTTACCTAACAGTGTTTCAGATTATCACCATCCGGCCTGTAGGTCCGATGGTGCTCTGGTCCCAACTTAGGGGTGTTGGTAAGCTGTTGTTGTCATATGAGCTGAGAATAGATTTGGAATTTGACCTAATAATAGATTTCTGTCTAATACATGTAGATGTAACCCCATGTACGAAGCTCTTTTATCCCTCAGTCATGTGCAAATATAAAGTTAAAGGATGACCTTGAATTCAATAGA